GACACACGTTTTTGAGCCTTGCCAACCCTCTCTTAGTGAGTGATTGATCAAACTTGCAAAATCAATTTGTGGGTTGAGTGAAATTCAAAAGAGAGCCATCCAACCACTTGAGCACTTGTGCATATTGTCAATCTCGTGATTCGCATTTGTTACTCTTGGACTCTTCGGTCCTAGACGGTTAGACGTCGCCGGAGAGCACCCGGGAGATTGTGGTGTGCCTCGGAAAGTTTGTAACGGTCGATTCCGCCGCCTCGGAATCAATTAGTGGAAGGAGGAAAAGGAGTTGGAAAAGACTCCGGCTAGAGTGACCTTCGTGGTATCCTCTAGGGTGACCTTCATTGGGTCGCCATGCAGCCCCTCAACGGAGAGTAGGACTCGAACGAGTCCGAACTTGATAAAACAAATATCGTGTCTCAATTCGCATTTCATTTGATATTTGTGTTGCTCTAGCACTTGTGCAGGTTCTCTGTGTATACTAATAGTTAAATTAGGTGCCTGCAGTTTGGTTTGAAGATAGAAATCAAAAGGAGCAAGTTCGGGACTGATCTGCAGAAATCGTGTATACCGGACACGTCCGGTATTCATACCGGACACGTCCGGTATTTCCTGCCTGCACTAAAAATATTTATTCTCTGTTCTAACTTGATGTTGCAGGGTTGTAGCTTATAGATATATTCTTTATACCTTGTTTACTCTGTGGCTAACTTGTGAGGGATGGTAGTACTCTTAATTTGGAGTTTCCATTTTGGAAACTCCCCTTTCTAATTGTTTCCGCATTTAAAGGTGTTAATTTTTAGAAACGCCTATTCACCCCCCTCTAGGCGACATCCTAGGTCCTTTCAAGTTGTTCATCCGTCTCTGATCTTGAACTTTTGTTTAAGGATCACCCTCAAACTCACACTGATTTGAAAGATCTTGAATTTTGAAAACAGGAAATCGAAACTGAAAACTAAATTCAAATTATGTTACAAAACAGAATTGATTAACTACTTTGAGCAATTAATTAGTGGCTAATCATTGATCAAACAATCCAACCATTAGCTCAATATCAAAGTACAAACATCACACCAATTCATAGAAGCATAATTGCACAAATTTTATTTATGAAAATTAATTTAATAATTCACCAAATATTGAACTTAATAACTGAAATCAAGGACTTAGTCAAATTGGCTAAGTGTGAGAATTAGTCATTGGATTCAATCTTTGAGTTCAAATGTATACATAATACTATCAATCATTTATCCCACATTATAAAAGCACACTTTGCACTACAACTTTTGTTTTAATAAAATTTTATTTGTTTAAGCAACTTCTCATATATAAATTCATAAAGAGCATTAAGCATTATTGTTATTAATATTTCATGTAACAAATGAAACACCTTATATGCAACATATGAAACACTACAAAGCAACACATGAAACATCACATGTTTCTACTCAATTAACAAAAGTGTTTTTAAGCAAAGCGGAAATTATCATTTCATATAATAACTTTTTGATCCAAAACAACATGCAACTTTTCATGTGACCAGAATATGTTCATGATTAGGTGATGCACATGAAAAGACATGATTAAAACTACTCATGCACATTTTGAAATAAAATTTACTTTTGAACAAAAGAGTTTTGTCTTTGCCTTTGAAAAGTTCAAGTGAAGTCATATTTGAAAGAATTTGACTCTACCTCTGTCACCACATGTCAGGTGTTAAACTAAAGCCCACAATCATCCTTTGACTTAGTTAGATTAGACTTAATTCACTGCTTAACTTGAAATTGACACCTGGGGTGTCACAGTTTTGATCACTTAGTACTAATTCTTGGGTCACCAAAATTTAGTCATATGTTATTTATATTCATGGAATAGCCATTTTAGTCTCTAAACTATGGCTCAAGCCTCACTTTCATTCCTAAACTGTCAAAACGGCATTTTAGTTCTCAAACTTTACTTTTTGGCTAAATTTCATCCTATGGCTACCAAAATAATTGTTTTAGTCCTCAAACTTTACATTTTAGACTTAATTTCATCCATGAACTGTCAAACTGCATTTCATTGCTCAAATTTTTATTTTTACCTCGACTTTGTCCTTAGTCCTACAATTTTAGTACCTTAAGAACACATGGATAAATTAAAACAACAGAAGACCTACAATTTTTCCTTAACTACTTCTAGCGTTTAGCTCAACTAATAGCCAATTATGGACAAAAAAAAATTATTCATAGGCTGAAAAATAATTCATAGTCAAGAATATTCATATCTTATGAAAGGACCTTGATATCGCTTAGAGAGGGTAAATAGATGTTTCTAAAATTTAACAACAAAATACAAAACTTTCGCACAATTCTGTGAAATTACCGCTTCATGGAACTTCTAAAAAAAAGAATGACACGAAGTTCATTGCACAAAAAGTTCAAGCTCAAATCAAACTTGTAGATATATTTTTGGAGATGTTCAGTAGAAAAGTCCACAAAGTACCTGCACTCACAAACACACACAATCAAGTAGACCGAGTGGAAAGAAAAATAATGCAATTCAAAATACAAGAGACAAGATATTTGTTTTATCGAGGTTCAGGTTCCCACTTGAACCTATGTCTCTATTGAGGTGGTGGTGAGTGACTCACAAAGGTCACACTCATGCCAGGTCCTCTCGATCACTATCCTCATCTCCATTAGTTGATCTTTTTCCCTGTGAGGGCAAGATCTCAGCCATCACAAACTTTCCTGTGGCTCGCCGCAAGCATGGGAGCACGTTGTGCGCCGTCTAAGAAGCTTCATCTCAAAAAGTAACAAATGCATCAGGAAAGATTAACGAATCCGGACAAGTGCTTTTAGTGTTAAAGAATTATTAGTCCTTATAATTGATTTGTCATCGAATCACCAAAACACCCTAGCGTGTCTAGATGCACTTTCAATTCATATTCATTTTAAAATATGTCATATAAATATTGAAGGTGTGCTATCCGATTCGATAGTAGAACAATGTCAGGGACAATGGTACCTAACGATGACCGTCCATCTCAAATCGCAAGTGGTGCTGAAGCTGACAAGGCATGACAACACAACACTCAAAGTTGAGCCAAAAAGAAAAGTTTAAGAAATAAAATGCACTTTAATAGTTCATGGATGAAATTGTACCTAAAATATAAAGTTTTAAAATGAAATCAGTTACTTTGATAGTTCGAGGGTGAAACTGAGCCTAAAAGAAAAAAAATTTGAGGACTGAAATGACCATTTTAAAAGTTTAGGAGCAAAAATGGGCCTTGTGCGATAGTGGAAGGACCAAAATGAGGATGTTGTCCTATTTATTTACATAGATTAATATTTTTAGGGCATGTTTAAATCACTTGGGAGTTGGGATTAGTTGTTGGAACTAATACTAATAGTTAGGTGACTAAAATTTAGCCCCATATATGATGTTTGGATTCATGGACTAGTAACTATATGGCCCATTTAGATCACATGTGACTAGTTTTTAGAGCAACTCTACTTGATCCTTTTCAATTTCGTCAAATTTACTATAAGGGAATGAGAAAACATAATTTCTAGTTTAAGGGATGGTTTCTCCAGTAGATTGAGAAAAACACATCCTCCTCATCTCCTCTTACATGTGGGATCCAAATGTCAGTGAATGGGTCAATTTTTCTACCTTTTTTACTCTCTCTCCTCTCCTTGTATATGTTAGATTTTGATTAGAGTTGCCCTAATTTTATTTAATTAAAATCAAATAAATTTTAAGGCTCAAATTAAATGCTAGGTGGAATAAAGTCTTAGCCTCGGCTTGGACTTTGACTAAAGACTGACCTAGCTTAAATAGGTGACAATTGTGTGGACTTATGAGGAAAGTAATTTGATATCACTGATGATGGTGTATTTTCTATAAAAAAATTGGTCAAGTAAGAAAAGTTTGACTTAAGATAAATCAATGTACAAGGGAGCTTTTCCAATTCTTAGTTTTCTTTTAGGAACTTCCAATTCTTAGCCTTTTTTTAGGGGGAAAAGTCCACACTACCTCCCTCAACTTTCGCGAAAATTCGTTTTTCCTCCCTGAACTTCAAAACCGGGCAAAACACATTTCTCAAATTTTAAAACCGCTCATCTTACTTCCCTAGCCCGGTTATAAGCGGTTTTGAAGTTGGTTTTATCTTTATCTTTTTTATTTATTTGGGCTGAATCTTTGAAAAATTATAGTAAATCACAAGAAAATCATAAAATAGAAAATCCAATTTTGTTGGACTCCACATGAGTAGATCTATACAGTGAAAATATAATATGGTATGTTTTAGTACAAAGTTTTGTTGTAGCTTTAGATCTATGCTTTTTTTAATTCACAGGGAAGTCTATGAATTATTCCAATTCATTACAAAAAGCATAGATCTAAAGCCACAATAAAAACTTTGTACTAAAGCACACCATATTATATATTCACTGTGTAGATCTACTCATGTGGAGTTCAACAAAATTAGATTTTTATTTTATGATTTTTTGTGATTTACTATGATTTTTCAAAGATTCATCCGAAATAAATAAAAGAAAAAAGATAAAACCGACTTCAAACCGCTTATAACAGGGCCATGTAGGTAAGATGAACGGTTCTAAAAGTTAAGGGAGGTGTTTTGCTCGATTTTAGAGTTTAGGGAGAAAAAGTGAACTTTCGCGAAAGTTGAGGAGGTAATGTAGACTTTTTCCTTTTTTTTTTAAGGAAACTTCCAATTCTTAGCTGATCCAAGCGGGTCCAAAAGACTTCCCTTTGGGCTTTTACTGAAATTACTGTGGCAGCCCAAAGCAGTGGGCCATGGCCCGAGTAACAGAACACGTCGTTGGGCCCGCTACCCAGGCTCGTATAGATAAAAAAAAAAATACAGTATTATTATATAGCAGCGTTCTGTCCCTCCCACAGCCAGGCGGCCCACAAGTACCGGCTCCCTTCAGGTTCAGGCCTTCACCAACCTTGGCCCCTCGTCGTTGCCGACGCCGGTGCCTCTCCGAGCCGACGCCATGACCCCCGTCAAATGGTACCGTACTCTCACATCCCGAACTTTCTTCTCTCTCCTCCCGTTCTGCCTCAAACCCGCGGTTTTCGGCGCGCAGGTTGATGCACTGGCACCCGAGCCCCGGGGCAACGGTCAACAGCCAGATCCTCTCGGAGGCGTGCGGCTGCGCGGAGTCCCTCGGCGGCTCCAAGGACGGGCGATGGAAGACCTCCATATTCTTCTACCGCGCCATGACCCGGGACGGCGCGGGGGGCCCCGCGGGGCAGCAGCACCCCGACTTGCCTAGGGAGCTCCTCGGCGTCGCGCTCCACGAGCGCCCGGGGCTCTACTTCTCCATCGTCCGCGCCCAGCGCCTCGTCCTCCAGGCCGATGCAGCGTTCCCCCAGGTCATGGAGAAGCTCCAGTCCTACAGAATCCGCGTCGCCCTCAACTTTGAGGTCACCTCTTGCACTTCTGGTTTCAGATTCGACCCCTGTATTTAGGGTTTTGCGCTTAGAAGTCTTGTTTTGCTTTGGTTCAAGCGATAGCGGGCAAATGTGCTTGTAATCGATCTGAAACTGTCAATTAAGCTCAACTCTAGGTTTACTCATTTTGTCTTCCCTTCTGCTAAGCGAAACAAATCTGTGTTCTGCTAAAATTGGATTCTGTCTGACGCTTGCTTCATATACAGTGTAAAATTTCCTGGCTAGGATTTTCTGAGAACTTCATGAGGAAAGCCACAACAGGTGTTGAGTGAAACAGAACTAACACGGGTGATAACTGATAAGCGCAAGCAGCAAGTGGCACACATGAGTTAGTATACCTGTCACTAAAGAGGGTTTGGGCACACCCATACTTGTCCACACCCAAAACCAGATCATCATTGTCCATACCTTACCCTCCCCAAACTCCTCCATACACATTTGCCCAAACCCACTGGATAATGATCAAGCAATAGGGAGAGGTGCTTGGAGTTGGAGTCTCCTTGGGTACTAGTGGGTATACCCATTTCTAATGGTTAAATAGTTTTCTACCCATACCAACAGACCTCACCCTCCCCAATATCGTCCATACTCCATACTCATTTGCCCAAACCCACTGGATAATTATCAAGCAATAGGGAAGAGGTGCTTGGAGTTGGAGTACTCCTTGCATCATCCGTCACTAGTGGGTATACCCATGTGAAACCCATTTCTAATGGGTAAATAATTTTCTACCCTTACCAACAGGTATAAGAGTTAGGATGGGCTCAACTAATAACAAAGAGTTTTCACAAGATCTCAAAGCCACCTGAAATTAATTGGGTTATGAAAGGTGTATATTTTTGTTCCAAAACTCAACTAGGTAGGCCTGTTTCTTGTAAATTTTGATTTGCTTTCTGTTTTTCTATGTTAACCTCGTCACGTCTGTCATAATCTTGTATACAACTTCAATTGTTTCATGTGCTTGAATATTCTTCAGGGGTTTCAGTATCAACTGGGTGATTTCTGCCTGAGGATAGGAAAATGTGTTCCTAATAATTCTGAAGCACTGAGAGGAATCATGATGGAGGTATCATTTCATTTTCTTCTTTTGAATTTCTCTTGTACTGATGTGAGTCATGTGACTGGTTCTTTGCCTTTTCTTACTAAATATCAAAACACAAACCAAATGATATAAAGTAATAACTTAAGATTTAGATTTGGTAAAATACTGTTTAAAAGTATGATAGTCTAAACCAGTAATCCTACAGAGCATCCTCTACTGATGACCCCGTTCGCTTCGCTGAAAAAACAAGCTGAAACACTGTTCCGGCTGATTTGTTGTGAGAGAAAAACACAATTCCGGCTGAAAAGACAAGCCGAAAAGTACGGATTATAAGACAAGCGAATATGGTACCCTATGACCTGGTTCTTTTCTTTGAAAGTTTGACTCTGAGATCTATCCTTATTATAAATTTAGTATAAACTGAAGCACTAACTGATTGTTAACCTGATGAACTTTGGTTGGCATAATACCAGTCTTTTAGTGTCTTTGCTTACTTGTAAAACTTGTGAGCTTACTGTTCATTTTTGCTTCGCTACTATGACTGCAGTCTGAAAGCATGTTCAGTATCTTCTGTGCCAATGCTAATAGTAGAAAAACTGAACAAAAAGCAATAGTTGAAAAGTTCACCATGTTATTTGAACTTGTGCCTGCCATGCAACTTACTTTTACTAATGTTGCTCAAATTTACTGGCAAAGCTTGTTTGAGTTTATTCTTACCCTCTATGCAGGTAGAGTATTATCCACTATCTTCCATTGAAAAATCCAAGGCAGTCATGGAGGACTTCTTTGACATATGGCAGGAAACAGTTGCGAAGAAGTCATTACCTGGTCAATTCATTCATGTAGACTCAAGCTTTTCAGATTATGGTCTTTCAGATCAATATTCTTTTCAACATACTGCAGTTCAATATGCAACCTGCTTGCAGCAGCTCATGGCTGCAGTAACAGTAAGGGGCTAGAGAGAAATTCTCAAAATCACTCTATAACGTCTTAGGTTGATTCTGCCTGGATGTATGTTGTGTAATGACATGCAAATGGTTTTCCCCCTCATGTTCTTTTGAGATGCCCTCTACTGGTAATTGGCAAATTACAATGGTCACATTCTGCGTCCGTGGTGGGGTGCAGGCTGAGCCGAGCCTTTGTGAAAGAACTCTTTTGTGCTTGAAATGGTGCACATATAGTCAATCTGACAAAGTTACTGCTCTCCGTTATATCCAAATTATAAGTTGTTTTGGCTTTTTTAAGGTACATACAATATTGTCAAGGTTGTCAAAATCGTAGATTCCAAATCGAATTGGGGATCTTTAGGTAAGACTGTAATCACAGAATCGTATACAAAGATTATGTGAAAACTTTATTTTAGGTAAGATTGTGATCATAGAATCGCATAAATAAAAATTGTAAAAGCTTTACTGGTTAGAATAAAAACGTAGACTTTATTGATTAACATCGCAAACGTAGACTTTATTGATTTCTCGGATTTTAGTTGGAGCAGTCTAGTAAATGGGTATGCATAATTTCCTTTCTCCCCGTATGCATCTATCTGTGAGTAGACATACATGTAGTGTTCTAACATTGCTTCATTCATTCCTTTTGTCCAGGCTCGACGTGGAGCCTAAGCTAAGTTTAGTGGCTTTAGATGCTTCAGGTAGCATTGGTGGCAATGCAGAATAGCCACAGGAACAGGTCGTTACCTGGAATACATTACAGGGGTAGAAATTATTGATGAGGACCACTTGTATAGTTGTATGTGATATTGGGGCCGAGGGATGAGAATGATAACGTGCGAGGAGGTTGTAACACAAATCACAAACAGCAACGAGTTCAGAGACAAACAAGCACGAGAAGAACATGGGAGGAGAGAGAAGGGATAAGGTAAAAGATCCCAGGAACAAAATCGTCAGTCTAGGTCTAATATTTTTTATCCCATAGATTAAAGAGGGTTGGAATAGTGAAATAGTATTTTCATCATGTGTGACTCACTTCACGAAGCTCGTAACTTTGATTGTATTCAAACGAAGCCCGCTTGCCGTGGGGGTAAAATTCCGATTTTCTCAAGGGATAGGAAGGGCTTGTTTCTAGAATACCCTTAAGAAGCTCCGTAAAAAAACATAAGTTAGGGTTCAACTTGATATTTTTTATTCTAGAGAAAAGTTATTGGAGTTGTGCTTGGCAAAGTTGAGTGTAGAGTAGAAGAAATTAGAGTGGACCGTACTGTTAGTCACATAGTATCTTGCAGAATTGAATCTCAAACCAAGTGAATGGCAGCGACAAATGTTCTTTTTTTTTTTACATTCGGCAAGTGTTGAAGCATCTCCAAGAGTATCCAAAACACTCTCCCAAACTAGGTTTTTTGGTAGAATAGAAAAAAAATCATCTCCATCAACTCCCAATACTACCTCCTAATCTTTTGGCACCTGGGGAAAAAACCTCTGTTGTATGTAAAGATACGGGATGAAAACGGATCGGATCGGTACGGATAATGCCCTCTTATCCTAATCCGCTTTTCTTTATCGGATTCGGTGCGGAGCGGATAATACACGGATGTAGATGCGGATGCAGATTTTTCAGATGTCGGAACTGGTACGGATATGGAGCGAAACCAAATCATAAACGGATTTAACTTTTTTTGCGAGATAAACGGATTTAACTAGTCGAGTAATATGTGCATACGTAGAGAATTATATGCTCGTCAAGAATTGTTGATTAAAGAACCAAGGATGGGCGAACTGATCATAGATCAGTTGGTTGGGTTCATCACAGTGGAACATGCCCACCTAGGCTTAAATCCTCGACTTGTCACGGGTGCTCGTATTTTTCTGGATTTATTCCAGGATTTAACGATGCTATACTTTCAATGGTGGGGGACGTCCCCGTCGACAGCGAGAGGCCGACGGTGACTTTATGAATTTCGAGATTTGCTGGTTCAGTCCTCCGAAGGTGCTTATAGGGGTAGGGTTTACGTACGCATATTCGTAGGGGTGAGTATTCGTGCGTGTCGTGAGCGTCTATGTTCTATGCTTTCTAAAAAAAACAAGAACGGACAATAGATGATAATCTTGCAATAGATTTCATGTCGCGGCTATCACGTTGACAATTAACATTTAACATGATATCTTCACTAAACAATGATAAGTTATTAGCCAATAAGTTATAACATCTAGCAAATTCTTAATTTAAAAATTAGGACATCAAACAACCACATCACAAAATAAAAGTTCTCAACTAACAAACTTTTTTAAATCATGAATTCTTTACTCTAGGAAGAGAAATTTCCGGATATCCTATGTTACACATCGGATAATCCGCATAGAATTTGCGGATAATCCATATCCACCGGATTTTACGAGTACCGTATCCTACCCCGTATCCGCACACAATCAGATTCGGATTATCCGTATCCACATGGATATTAAAAGTTCTTCTCCGTATCCTCAGAATTCGGATTCGGATCGGATCGGTTCGGAAAATTATCCACACTACTTTCACCCTACCTGCGGCGATCTAAACACGCTTATTGTGCGGCCAATCTAAAGGTGGAAGGGCGGAGAAAGAATAAAGAGTAGAAAATGTTTCTATACAAATGTACAAGAGAGCAAATATATAAAAGTTGTTAAGATAATTTCGAAATACTATACGATTCCTGATGTAAAATTGTATTATATATTTTAGGAGTGAATTATTGGAAACTGTTGAAGATAATCTTATTTATTCCTCCCAATATTTTTTGACGAGTTAAAAAACTCCATAGTTTGGGAAAGAAAATATTGATAACTATAGGAGATACTATTAGACAAGCTGACATGGCTTATTGTACCTGCTCTTACTGCAATAAATGCCATACGCTACTTTTTTCCCTCCTTCCATACTGTTAATGATGCTGTAGCAAATATTGTACGGTACTTTTCCTGCCTCTTTTCCTGCTTACTCCCTTGGTCTAGAAAAAATGTAATTATAGAAACCGCGCTGATTAAGCTAGTTAAAGTTTAACCAAGTTTATAATAATTAATATTAATATTTATGTCTTCAAATAATTTATTATAAAAATATATTCTATAACTAATTTGATGATATTTATTTGTCTCATAGGTGTTAGTATTTTTCCATATAATTATAGTCAAAATTTAAACCGTTTAACTCTCGACTAGAAATATGAAAATTGCATTTTTTTACTGAGGTAGTACTTAACAAAAGCAGACTGCTCACTGTTAACTCGCACGGTGTTACATGCTATAGGCCTGTTCGGCAGGACTGAAAAATAAGCCAAAATACTGTTCCGATTAATTGTTGTGATAGAAAAATACTGGTCTATCTAAAAACACTGTTTACATGAACAGCGATTTCATGAGTGGACCGACCGGCCAGCCAGCCGAACAAGGCCATAGTATACTCCCTATGTCCCAAATTAATCGTCGTTTTTTGTTTTCGTGTCGTAAGTTTAGCTAGATTTATAGAAAATACGTAATTATATCTCTAAATAAATTTATTATAAAAATAAATTCAACGATCTATCTAATGATATTAATTACGTACTATAAATATTAATATTATATATTTCGGGAACCGACAACGACAGTTTGGCACGGAGGCAAATTTTTGTTTCGCGCCATTTGGTCCCGGCGTCCCGCCACGGTGCTACAAGAGGCAAATTTTTGTTTCGCGCTACATCACCAGTCCACGTAGCCCCAAATCCTCCACACCGAACGACGGCACCGCACAATACACATTGCCGACGAAATGGCTCCGCGCCGCCCTCGCAAGAGGCGCCGGATTCCTGATTCCTCGGCCATGCCGGTGGGTGCGGTGGACGCCGATGCTCTGCTCTCCCTGCCTCAGGAGGTCCTCGACGAGATCCTCGCCCGCCTCGACCTCCGCGACGCCGTCCGCACCTCCGCACTCTGCCGCGCCTGGCGCTGCCGCTGGGAGACGCTCCCCTCCATCGACATCTACATCCGCTCCGGCAAGCAGGCGCTCTGGACCGTTGACTGCGTCCTCCCCCGCTGCTCCGGCCACGTCCAGCGATTCCACGTGTCCCTCGACGAGCTCTCCGCCCGCCGCCTAGACGACTGGCTCCTCGTCCTCTCCCGCCGCGGCGGCGTCGAGGATCTCTACCTCAGGCCGGAACCACCCTACGAGTTCGTCTCCCTTCATTCCACCGTCTTCTCTTGGCGCCGCCTCATCTCCGTCGACCTCTTCGCCTGCCACATACCGCCGCTACGCCCGGACTTCGAGGGCTTTCCGGTCCTTAAAGTGCTGAGCCTTGTCAATGTGAATTTCCAGCAGAACGGGGAGTACCAACTGGAGGAGATCATTGAGACATCCCCATTGCTTGAGAAGCTGATACTATCTGAAGTCGACATCGGCGGAGACGACTTTATTGAATGGAAGATCCGGGCGCCCAATCTTCGTCACATAACAATTTGCTCAAGTATCGATTATGGCTGGAATTTTGCAGAGCTGCCATGCCTGCACTCTGCTGTCATCAATTTGTGGGAGTATGTTGGTAACCGAGATTTCGCCAAATTTCTTGTTGGGCTCGTTCAAGTCAGGGAGCTTAGTCTCTACATGTTTTATGCACCGGTATATGCTGTTCTTCCCAAGTATTCATTTTATCTCTTCCAAATCTCTAGTTTGGCAGGATCGAAATAGAAGCTGACTAAAATGACTTATACTACCTGACAATGGGAAATGATTGGACACTAATGAGGTGATACACCTCATAAAGGCTGGGCATATTCGCAAGAAGTTAGTGTCTTAGTGCCTAATTGTGTTGCTTGTGTTAGTCACTTAGTTGTACTATTACTTGTGTATACTCCCTCCGTCCCAAAATAAAAGACGTTCTCGTTTCCCGAGAAACGACTGCCGGCAATTATATATTAAAATATATAAATATTTATGCTAAGTAATTAGTATCATTGAAAAGATCTTTTTGTCTAGTTTTTTAACAAATTTATTTGAA